AGGACTGTACTCAGGGGCTAAAGCGTTTGGTAATTAGTAAACAACATGGCGGACTCGACTCGCCGGAATGCCCGGGCGTCGATCATAAAAAGTGTGGATAGCTGCTCGAATTCGCCACTCCGGTTCAAATTTTGAGCATAAACGAATATTATACAGTACAAGGATTGCTGCCGCTGCCCCGCGCGTTAGGTATTCCCCCCTGTTCGCCTCCGCGCGTGCCCGGACACTCCCTCGCGTGTCCGGGCGTTAAATAGTAGGACCCGCAATGAGTACCTACAGGGGGTTAGCTGATACTTATTATTTATCGAATAAAGCGGTAAAACGCCTTTGAATTTTTTGATTATTTTCATGTTTTAGTGGCTGTGTAGACGACGGGTATACATTTTATAAAATCAAGAAACGCGAGTTTGGGCTGTTCATTTTGTTTAATCTGAAAATGTTATAAATACGATTTCACTTTCCCATTTATATGCAGTCTATGTCACACATCCCAGCTGTCTGTGGTCAAACTCTATTACTGTTGTGCAGAGTACATGATATTTGGCAACCGATAAATAATTTTCAATCCTATGTAATATACAGCATATGGAAGCAAATACAGGACAGAGCTTAATGTACAAAAATAGATCAATATCATTTTTGAATTTACCTTTAATTCGTCCATCCAATACTGACCATGATGTTTTCGCATTTGGCACCACCAACTTTCTATGCACTGTAAAATAAATGATGTTAGGTCATGTTTATGGTGTATCAATTTATAAGTCCTTTCATTACAGAAGCAGAGCTCATTATCACTAGCTTTCCTAAGCAAAGCTTCACAAGTTCATTTGTGTGAAAAAAAGTTGTCTGGATCAAGCGATTGTCAGGGACAAATCCCATGCTATTAAAATATTGTTTGCACTCACTTGATTAGTAACTGATGATCCATATACATGTACATTATCTAAACCTGAATCACGATGCAAGAACAACTGACATTGTACTAGAAGTCCCACTTCTGCACCTGCATCAGATCTAGTCATCCTTGGAAACACTGAAAAATGAAAAAACATCAAGGTAGTTAAAGGGATTGGTCAGTTACTTCGGCAGGGGTTCCCTACAGATTCCATTTTGTCAGCTGTAAACCCCAGTGACCCACCCCCTATCAAATAAAAAAAGTGGGTAACCCACCCAATCATTATATTTTAAAACATGCTGTCCCCTCTGAAAAATGATTACAAAATGTATATCTTATAGACCAGGAATGCTTTACACCCAAAGCATAGTCTGTGCTTATGAAAACAAAGGAAACTCTGATTTTTGCTTAAATTTGCGTTGGATTTTGGCATTTTACAGAGCAAAATATGCATATTTAAAAGTTAAAAAAAATATTTATTTAGTTTTTTATCATTTATTTTAATTTATATATCAGCATTTTCACAAATTTAACTTTTTTGATTTGCTGAACAAAAACTGTCACAGCTCTTTGTACTAATTGCTGTGTTGTCTTTCCGTCTCCTGTTATAATTGGATAAATCCAGTAAATATCTTATAAAATGGTGACTTCAGACTTTAAATAAAATAATCTGATATCAGCAGCACATGGACTTGGGATGTGTTTAAAACTTAACTGTATAATTGGGGTTCTAGCCGCATTGCATAATCTGTTAGTTATTT